GACTGCAATGTAAGTACTTACATAACTGACCTTTCTGGCAGTCGTTGCCAAAAATGGCAGTGGTTTTGGTCCTAATGAGAGAAAAATTACGGCTTTTCTTCGAATCGTGATCATCAATAATTCGATGGAATCCTTGACCTTATTATTGTAATTGCAACTTCTTGGAAGTTTACTTTTTTTATGTAGCGATGACAATCTATCTATTCTATATTATTTCCTCGGAACAATAACTAGACATGGAAGCCAGGCTAAAATAGCAATTTACAAACATATATCTGATGCTCTCACTCTTTACACGATTTTGCGTAGGCGAGAATGAGACCGCAAACTGAACATAGTTCTGATAATTTGCAGGTTGTCACAACTTTCAGTGGACTCATTACAATCTTATGTCATTGGACTCATTCAGCATACTACCAAATTCAAAATCACGTTTTGACGTTCTATGTTTCACAGTTTCACTCAAGTTTGACACCTTCCTCTCTTTGCCGGATTATAGTACTGAAGTGTCACCGTGGTTGTATTTACGGCTCCTGATAATAAAAAATATTTTCTAAGGAATTAGCGCAAAAGAAAGGAAGAAAGAAAGTGTATGGCCGTTCTTTATTATGTGTTTTACTTAATAAAAATACGTCTTGTGTGATTGACGGCTGCAATTCACATTTAGGAAGAAAAGAAAACAGTGGTGAAAAAATTCACTTTCATTCGTAACTTTTTGATATGTTTTAAAATAAATTATACTGGAAATACCGGTAAACTATGTATAAATAAATGTTACTTATTTATTGCCATACTTTTCAATTGTAAGCCTAAACTGTATTATTCCATATTTTCCTAAAAAATCTAAATCAATTCTCTAAGTTAGTTTTTAAGCTAGTGATGTGGTCATGTTACATATCGATATTTTAGTTAGGCTTTGAAGTTCTTTATAGTATAGACGTCGTTTAGAGCCCGAATCACATGATACTTTTGATGATTTGACAGAACACGACTACATTTTGTACCCATCATCTATTACGGGATATTCTAAAAATGTCATAGAATACATAATCGGCTTTATCGGAACGAAATTAAAAAATCTTTACAATGCGAAAAATGCATAGAAAGTCTTGAGAACACGGAGAGTATTCCTTAAAGATCTTTGATATCTTTAATTATAGAGGAGGCCTATTTAAACCAACATATGGCTTAACCAAGATCTGTCAACTGTCCGAAAAAATTATAAGAGAATATCAAGTGCATATTGATTCAAAATCTCTCGGTAAACCAAAATAATTATTAGATTGATTAATTAAGTTTCAGCAAATGTGTTGCCGTCAGAAAATTTTCGTGAAAAAAAAGATTATTCATTAGAACAATCTTTCTATGATGATCACAGAAATCTTATAAAGTCCATAGCACAAAAATATTTTAAACTTAGGATACATTATATAACAAAAAAATTGACTATACCTACCGAAAAAATTCGCACATATTTAACAAAGACAAATATAGTTAAAAGTCAATGATAAACACATAATAGTACACCACTACCACGGTTTGTAAATATGCTTTGTTTGTGAGCAATTAAATTATCTTTTTAATATTGTATTTTATTTCTGAACCCAGATCACGACAACGACATCCAGATTAAGAACCTAATGTACGTTAAACCACAGCAGCAATACTTTCAGGTACCATAATTTGTCGATTAAATATATTAATTTATTCCCATCACTAGCATATTTACAAGTAGTGACAACCCGCATAATAACGAAACGAACCAATACACATGTCTCTTTCTTATACACTATCAATACCATAAGTAAAAAAAAGATGAATATATGGATTGTAGTTGTTATTTTAGCCTGGCTTCCATGCTTTAGTTATTGTTCCGAGATTATTTCTATACATACAATAAAATCGTAGAAAAGTCAAAACTTGAATATTTTTTTAAATTAATACTTGTCTATACTTTACTTGATCTATAGTCGACACTGAAGCCAAAAAATATGGTTTTTAGAACTTTTGTCTGTTTGACTATATATGTATGTCCGGAATGATCTCAAAAAGCACTGCGTGGATTTACCTTAAATTTTGTATGATTATTACTGACAGGTCGGGTCAAAATATAGACTACATATTATCACGCTATCACCTACGGGGTAAGCTCAGTAAATCACTATTCTACGCGAACGAAGTCGCAGGTAGTACAAGTAGAGCGACTGATCGACTGAGTATAGAAACTCCTCCGCTTCTCTCTTTCAGGGACAAAGAGGCGATCAACCATTTACTATTTTGTGAAGCCTGGGGGCAAACGAAACAACGAACAAGTGCAGCACCTATAATTAAACCTATTCTGCTAACTGAAAATATCAAACCTCTTTTATATCCGATGAAATATCTGATCCTATCTTATTTATATTTAGGTAGATAGTTCTATGAATACTATTTGTAAATCAATAGCGATAAGATTTATAGACATTGCCAAATTAGGTTTAATTCATTACGGCCATTGTGTTGCCTTCTATTGGTTTATTTCGTTTATCATTATTTGTAGTTCAACGGGGTCAGATTGTGTTTAGCGATGCCATTGATCAAGTTTTATAAGGATAAGTTGCGTATTCATTTTTTTTAAATAAAAAAAATTCTTAATGTCTAAAGCCAAACATCGTAGGTTCGCTTTCCGATCATTTTAAAGATTTTACAGCATAAGGAAATAAGTAATCAAAAGCGATTCTAGGAACTTTAAGCTTAAAGCTGCAAATATGAAAGATATAGGTATACTTCCAAAACTAAATCCTAATTTAATTCACAAATGTAAGAGTTACAATGTTAACCACCTTACACTGGTTAACTCGATAAGTTAACTACTGGAACGTTAAGTTAAGCGTGGCATGCGCAGTTATTTAGCGTTGACACTATTTATGTGAAGCATATACGAGAGAGGTGGGCGAGGCGCGCGCCTGCGCTTACGCACGGGATACCCGCAAGATATATTAGAAGGTTCATACATATTCTCTGATTCGAAAGAACCTTCGTCTTCATGCAATAGGTTTTAGATACAATAGGTATAGTTTTCAATCCTTGGGTAAGGTTTTAATATAAGGCCGATATACAATGTCGTTATATTCTCTTCTCATAGTCCGTCACAGCCAAAGACGTTGAAAAAAAGGCGGACACAGTCTCTTGAAACAACGACTGTGTCACCTGGTTACAGACGTACACGCAGAACATACACACATTGACACGAAGGACATCTGTAATTTCCTAAGTATGGTAACGTGGTAACTTCACACACGCACACATAAATAACCCACTAACATTTGGGTGCTTCAATAATGTCTGAGTGACATTATGTCCTCCCTTTTTTCAATGTCCTTGCTCACAACTCCATGGGGGGGGGGGGCTCTTTACCACCTTTATTACCATACTCCATGCATTTGAATATTCATAATTTCTAAAGTTACAATTATCTTGAACAGTTGAACTGCACCTTCTGTCTCCACAAGTTGTATATCGTGCGCACACGCATCCGGCCAGCCTCACTCACATGTCGTAAGATTTAATGGAGTTTAATACTTGTACGTATAATTATCTAATTGATTATCTGTTTTCAAACCGCAGGCAATCAGTGTCTCTAACTTTGATAATCGCAATCAGTTAATGAACATGTTTATCTGTATACAAAACATGTTATTGTGCAATTTTGTATTAAAGTAACGATTTAAGCGCTAGTCCCCGGAGAAGAAAAGATAGTTAAGTTTTGTCATGGTACAATGTCGACTTATACTTAATGGCTGCTGTCGCGGAGAACCTAACGGGTAACCGGGGCTCCGGCTCGACGTGCAGGAGAAGGAACGGGGTGGTTTTTAGTCAGTAAGAGTCTGACACTCCCTTCCGCCTCACCCAGGCGGGGGCAGCCATTCGATGATTTTCCCCCCTTACAAAAAAATACTTAATGGCTGCTTCGTTGCTTTGTGAAGTGATTTGGCAAATGGCAAAGAACGAATGAAAAGCTCCGTGTCCTTATCGGTACAGAACCTTTACTGAGCTCTTTCATTTCTTAACTCTTTGAGTACCGTCATTATAGACACAATTAAAGAACAATAGGTTGCGGTCACCGGTTTCCTCGCGGTGTTTGACAGTTTAAACATTGTCGTGTGACTACCTCGTTGGCCGAGTGGTCGCAAGAGCAAGGGGTCTTGGGTTCGATTCTCGGGTCGGGCAAATTATTACTGGATTTTATGAAAAAATCTCAGTAGTATCACGAAGTCTGGAATTGTGTCCGGTATATAGCAATAGGCTCACCCTCTATTATATGGGACTTAACATAAATAGTAAAAAGTGGGTGTTATATTGTACAGTGGCATTAAGTGCCGTAATGTGCATCTCTACCTACCATTTTGGGGATAAAAAAGCGTGTTATGTTATATGAATCCCGTTTTAAACTCACTAAAACATTAATATCAAAAGTCACATCTTCCCCACATTGAATAAAAAGCTCAATAAGTCCACTTAAGTTCTGTGAAGTGATCCATTCGTTTTACAATAGGTACTTGTCACAGTTCTTAACCTGTGCGTCCATAAGCAAGGTGTTGGCATGGCATGAAGGTGGGGTATCAATCAATATTATAGTGTCCACGTCTGCCTGGGGCAGTATAACAATCCACGACTTAACTTATGTTATCATTCACTATAATCGCTGCATTTGCGTCACACATGCGTGTCGGCGACTCTTATCCGACATCAGTTTATTATTGCACAGTATTCGCAAACAATATTATAATGCGTCGGTCTCATTTGAATTTAGTTTATCTGATGTATTGGTTCAACTGGTTATCGTTACTTGGAATTGTTTGCAACCCGCTTGCCAAATGAGATTATGGAATCTTTCATAGAGGTCCATAGTCTAGGCGTAGTGGACTCTCACGGTTTGTTCGCGATGATAATAGATTAGTCATAAGTCTGTGATTCTATTGTGGAAAGGAGTGTCGAGATATTTGTAGGAACAAGTTATGATGCAGGAGTCTTTACAGGTCTTATTCAATTCAACGGTGTGGGACAGTGTGGGAGAGCCATTCAGCCATGCTTCGGCACGAATGGGCCGGTTGGACCAGAGTAATACCACGACCTCACAGGAAACCGACGTTCACGTCGGTATGTCGTCGTTCAACGCTTGCGTTGTGTTTCGTCGTGTGAGTGAGGTTACCGGAGGCCTGATTATCCTCCCCTTCCCCAATGTCCCTAATCCCTAAATCTTTAACAATCCTTAAATGCCTAATCCCCAAAAGGCCGCACTTGTAACGTCTCTGGTGTTCCGGGTGTCCATGGGCGACGCCAATTGCTTACCGGTAACCGGTAACCGGGGCTCCGGCTCGACGTGCAGGAGAAGGAACGGGGTGGTTTTTAGTCAGTAAGAGTCTGACACTCCCTTCCGCCTCACCCAGGCGGGAGCAGTCATTCGATGATTTTCCCCCCTTAAAAAAAAGGTTTTTCCATAAATAAAAACTGATTCAGTATGATTTTTGCCGCCAAGTCATATCAAACTGCAGTTAAGATGAATGGCATGTGATTAATAGCCCCTTCACGTACACAATGTGTAGTTAGTATATCTATTGCATACATTTGAATGTCGTGACGAATGTACAATGTGTTTAAAGTACCTGTTAAGATCTGATGGCTTCCTCGTTGTTAGTGTTCGGAAAAGTTATTAATTGGAGTTCCTGTTTCAACTACCTCGTAAGTTGAGGTTAGAAGTCAATCAAAGTTGATCATCATCAGCCGGAAGCTCTTGGTGATTCGACTTCGTCAGCACCGCAAGCTTATTATCAATGATGATACTAGATTTCTGTTCTCTCTTTCTTTAAAAAATTTTCAATCTTTTATAACCCTTTCAAAATTCTCAGTAGTAGCACGGAGTCTGGAATTGTGCAAAATATATGGCAATAGGCTCACCCTCTATTACATGGGAGTCATAACATAAATAGTGAAAAGTGGGTGTTACATTGTACAGTTGCATTAAGTGGTGTAATTTGCACCTCTGCCAACCCCTTTGGGGAAAAGCGGCGTGGTGTTATGTTATGTGATAGCTTTCTGCCAGTGATTTGGTTCGCACAAATATGTGATTCCCACGGAAAAGAATTTTTTTTTGTTCCGTGGTGATTCTCGTTTTTACCGTTCCCGTGAGTTTAGTGAAATTCTTTTTTAGTGCTCCCCTATACTCCTCAAGAAACATACATGCGAAATTTCAGTTTCCAGTAGTTTCAGCTGTGCGTTTTCTATCATTCGGTCACTCAGTAACGGAAGAGTTTTATAAATAGACTAGCTACTTCCACGCGGTTTCACACACTCTGCTCAGCTCCTATTGGTCGTAGCGTGATGTTTTATTGCCTATAGCCATCCTCGATAAATGCGCTATCCAACACAAAAAAGAATTATTCAAATTAGATTTGTAGTTACGGAGATTAGCGCGTTCAAACAAACAAACAAAAAAAACTTTTCCGCTTTATATAATAGTATAAGAGTATAAGATAAATAATAGATTATAAAGACAGACAATAATGAGACTGTCCTAAGGTAGGTCCAGTTATATTTTAAGGTGCAATATTCAGGCTCGGGCCTATTGATTCCATTCTATCAATGAGTCTCACCAAACTCAGACATCACCGTGTGCTAGGTTAAAATCTTTTACTATTATGTATTCAAAATATGTAGGCGTACTGATGTACTTATTTCAGCCTTTGGCATGTTCGAAGGTAAAATTATGTGTCTTCAAACCAATAAATAAAATGTAACTTGATTACTCGAATAACGATTCCACCTACATGTGTCTTACAAATCTATAGTGTGCTGCCCACGTAGGTATCGACTTGTTTGATAGGGACGAGATGCAACAAACATCAGAGGCCTTAATTCGAGTTTATTTTACGTTGAAAGTAATCGAAACGAAACCGCATTCGGCGTTCTGATTGGTTGGTGCATTGGAGCCGGCCAATCAGGACTTTAAGCGAATAAGAACTTTTAAGTGTGGGCTCGACCGGAGTGATACCATGGCCGCACATAAAACCGACGTGAAGCAACGCTTGTCGTGTGGGTGAGGTTACCGGAGGCCCAAATAACTCCCCTCACTTTTCCTCAATTCCTGAATCCCCAACAATCCTCAAATTCCTAATCCCCAAAATGCCGGTGACGCACTTGTGATGCCTCTGGTGTTCCATAGGTGTCAATGGGCGACGCCGATTGTTTACCATCAGGTGATCCGTCTGATCGCTTACCGGCTTATGCTCTAAAAAAAACTTCGAACGCGTACTCGTTTCGATTACTTTGAACGTAAAACAAACTAGTAAGCCCTCTGTGCTGATTGGTAAAGACGAAAATCGAGAGAGTAAGTATTCGTATCGTTATATCAAAAGCACTTTCTATCGGATTTGAAGTGATTCCAACGTCAAGGTAGTTATGGAGATATAAACTGTCTTATGTCTTGATACTTAGATTGCAAAGTAGTAAAAAATTACATTGAACCTATATTAAAACCACATATTATAAGTAACATAAATTGTTAATCATTAGTAACTTGGAGACTGAAGCGCATAATACCTGTAAAAAATTCAAAATACTTAGTGGGAAAAGCTTTCAATTCCAAATCCGTCTTAGGGTGAGCCAACATAGCTTTAGTCAGACAAGTGTAGCAGGTTATTGATACACGTATTAACGTCAGCACAACCTAAATCTATAACCGACATTAAGATACCTATCTTATAATTACTAACTCCAAGGATAAAGAATAATTAATTACTTACCAAAGCTGTCTCGCTACTGGTCCGGTTGTAAGTGATTGATCCTAGTGTCCATATAACACTGTCATACTGTCCCCAATTGTGATCCATGATGCAATATATATACATATTAAAGTCTATGTAAGTCATGGCATTAGCTATTGTCAATAGTAATTGGTTCGTGTATAAAATCATATGATGTAGGTAGTACACTGCATCGTCGCGTTGTCACCTATTGAAATAAAATTAGTGGGATAGCCACAATCCCCATGATTCACATACATGGCTTGAGAATAGTAGTTTTGCTAATTATTATTTAGAGACCGCCTACTATGGGTAATACGTACAGCCACCGAGAGACGTGTCTCTCGGAGCTTTAGGAATTGCCAGTTCATTATAATCTTAAACAGCCAGTCCGACAATCCACTTCTATACTAATAGATGTAGCAGCTAACATTTAAAATTATTTTTTTATTATTACTAATAAATATAGAATCCATATCTTTTTATAATAAGTATCGTGAGACATACTAAATTAACCAAAATCGCGGGTTACGTGAATAGACTGTGAAAAGCTCTACTAGTTTCGAACCACAGAGGGGTTCTTCCTCATGAGCAGCGTGCGCGGTCGCGGCGACGTCGCGCAGCTCACTCTTGGTGGTTCGCAACTAGTAGAGGTTTTCTCAGTATATTCACGTGAGTAAGCCGCCATTTTGGTTAATTTAGAATCCATATCGTTACTTCATACATACATATTATTTGCACCGGTACCTACTTCTCAAGTTATGTTTCCGTTTCATTATGTATATATTTTTGTTGCACGAACATGTTAGATACATGTTACGCTTGATATTCACATGGACATAAATCTATCACGTGTTTCATTCATAAATCAATATCTTACTCTACACTCATTTCCTAACCGAGCTAAACGTATGCAAATATGCAATATTTGTGGTTAAGTATTGGTCATAAGTTTTACTTTAAACAACATCTATACAGATAGGTAATAAAACTGTAAAAGTGTAAACTATGTATGTACATTCGAAACATTAAAAAAATAAATAAGTAAAGGATGTTACTAGATGGAAACCGAAACCAAAAAGTTGTTCAAAAAATTTTTTGTCAGTCTGTCTGTCTGTATGTTCACGCATTACGCAAAATCTACTGGTCCGATTACGATGAAACTTGATAGAATTATATTTAAATATTCTGGGTACAACACTGGGTACTTTTATCCCGAAAAAGTATACCTACCTTTACACAGGTAGACCACCTTTAGAGGTTTGGTAATTATTTTCGTCTTGTCTTTATATATACCTCTCCTACGCACGACACTACGAACTTATCCAACATATGTCACTAATATACTTGTAATATCTATGAAATGTACGACTTAAAATATTTTAGGTCACAACGAAGGAGCCCATACATATATATCGCTACTTGCGTTGCTCAACGCTCGTCTAGACCACTTTAGTTATTGTCGCAAAGCCGGCAACTGCTCTCTAACAAACATTATTTTTGATTTATGAAGATGCACTTTAAAGATTGACAGAAGGAACATTTGAAATGAATGTTCTACATTTACGCATTGAGAATTTATTACTAGATGTACCTACAGATTTTATGACGTAGGTAATCTAAGAACAGTTTATATTGTTTATGCAAACCATGGCAAAATTATTAAGTAGCTATGTCGATGTCTTCGTACCTATTACTTTTCGTACATATAAAATGCATTATGAAATTAAAAATCTATAAAGTATCCGTTCACCTAATTCACTTATTCACATGCGTAACTTTAAGAAGGTTTAAAAATATATATAGCTACCTAACCTAACAGCTTGTAGGTAAATTACATAAAAATAACTTTGTTGAAAGTATAAAACCCATTTTAATATATCAACGTACGTAATTATATCAATGACTTCAACTGTCTACTTCGCGGTGTTATAAAATGGTATTTATCAAACGAACGAATCAACTTCGTGCGCGGCCATGACAGAACCATAATTTTGACAGATGCGATTATGAACAACTCATGCGCTGATCGTATCAAGATGGCTGAACCTAAAGGGAATATTGTGAGTTATTTAAATAATATGAATATCTGTCACGCCCAGAGTGAAGTTAGCACGATTGTTATGAAGAAAGAAATTAATGTAATAAATTAAAGAATGTAATTAACATTCTTTGAATATTTAATTAATTAGGTACACATTGTTTCTTAAATTAAAAAGTTAATTACGTTTTCACAATTAGTTATTAGATCTGTGAACTCATAAGTTACTACAAATAATGTTAAAACAAATAATTAAAATTCATTGAAAAATAGAGAGAACCAATTAATTTAATGAACTATGCCGGGTGGATAAATCCCCCGTATTGTTCTACGTATAACTTAAATTTATGCGAGTGTCTATCTTGTGACATCATCAACAGCCTATAAATGTCCACTGCTGAGCAAAGCCTCTTCTCACACGGGGAAGGGTAGAGCATTCATCACCAATGCTCTTGCTCAATGCGGGTTGGCGATTTCAAACTTGTAATTAGAAATTATAAGCCCAGGTTTCCTCACGATGTTTTTCCTTCACCGTTTGTCAGTGGTGTCTAAATAATCTTAGAAAGTTACTTAAACTCGAAAAAAGTCATATTGGTACATGCATGAGAAGCAGGCGTCTTAAACCTCCGAGCCACCACGACACACTGTCTGTCTATCTTGTGACATACTGTTGTACAATAAGTGAACATTTGGACATTAATGGACGCATGTCTTGGACAATTGGGCGTGTAGACACAAACTTGTCTCTCCATTTATCTCATGTTCGATTACGATCAAATAGATACTGCACACATTTGAATTTGATAGGTGAATTTTGTCAGTGGAATCGATAAAGTAATTGATAGGTAGGGTCCGATATTTTCGACACGTTGATAGCTAAGATGTTTCTTTCTCAGTCCTAGTTATATTTTCTTTTATATTCTCAAGATTTTTGCTCGAATTAATTCTAATTTAGTTGAATCTTTGGTAAAGTCACTGAGTCTTATCGAATCCTTTTCTGAGGGATAGTAAAAATAATATGCTCTACCAATAAATATTCATGCCAGATCATTTCCTATAGGGGATTAATTTGTCAATACCTAGAAACAAAATAATATGTATTATATACAAGTTAATTTTACAAGTAAAAATAGGAAAATAACAATAAGGCAGTAGTAAACACTAATGAAAACATCGAGGCCACACAAACAGTACCGCTGATTGATCTCACACATAACTCGACTCACACTTAATCATCTTTTAAACAAGTACAGCACACAATAACACCGAAATACATTAATAATGACAAACGTAAGAAATGCGAGGGTCAGTCAACAATCAATCAGTACATTAGTCAAAGCGTGCGAGAGCAATTTTTCAAAGCCCACATTACTGGAGTAACAGTCATTAATATCTTAGTGGATATTGTCTTATTAGGCAATTAGTCAGACTAAGGCCATGCCTGGGCACACCGTGACCCGACGGCTTACGAAATGCCCCGACCGCCTACGAGCCGCACCCTGTGCGACAATTCAGCACATGTGTTGTCTACTGTCTATGTGTTCTAATTATTTAAGTGGACCGTTAGGTATGTATATAGATTTCGCAGAATTACATTCACCGATTTAGTATCTTTTATAGCAACAGACTTTGGTAATCATTGCATGCTGATTTAACTATCTATAAACCTAATAAGATGTCAATTTGTAAGTTTGTGAATAGATACTCACGATTTACCAGTTTCCAAATATAAGTCCTGTTAATATTCTAGTTAGATGAACAATTAAAGTCAATAGTCAAAGCATTTATTTCAATTAAACCATATTTTGGTACTTTTGAAACGTCAACATATACAAAACATACAAAATAAATAAGTCTTTCAGTCTGTCCGTCAGTGAAGGTAGGTGCTCATTCCAAAATCGAATGGAGAAGAACGAGCAAGCAACTTCATTCGTTACTCTTTTAAATAACAATATTACAATTACAAACTTCTTATAATACAAAACCTTCAAAGTTCGACTGCCTAAGGCATGTCTCCAATACAATAAATAATATCATAAATGAGACATTACAATAATTAACCTTAAAAATCGGAAGTGGTTTATTTCGGTCATCTGAGAATTTAAGGGCGATCTTGTTTACGCTCAAGATTTTGACAATAAGGTCATAATAAATTCAAGAGCGTACTCCAAATAAGATACTATTTATTTATAAACAAGAGCAACAACCATATCAAGTTCATTCAAGTAAATAATTAAAAATAACTACTCATAAAATCTGTTACGATGACCTTTTAATTTTTTGTAAGGTCTAGACCACAAGCCTTTTTGGTGTAATCAATAATAACGTGACAGCTATGCGGAAACTTAAAGTTGACCCAGTTTAAGGATATGGAATACT